TAACTACTGTTATCTATGCGCTGGTAACTTCAAGGTTAGATTACTACAATGCATTATACATAGGGCTGCCTCTGAAGATGGTTCGGAGACTTCAGCTAGTGCAGAATTCAGCGGCCAGGTTGCTCACCGGAGAAAGATGGTTTGAGCATATTACACCAATCCTGGTCCAACTGTACTGGCTACCAATTAGTTTCTGGGCCCAATTAAAAGTGCTGGTTTTGACCTATAAAGCCTTTAACAGCTCAGGACTGCAATACCTCAAGGACCACCTCTTTCCATATGAACCTACCCAGACCTTAAGATTACCTTCTTAGGCCCTTCTTCATGTGCCTCCTCCTCGAGAGGTCTGGAGGGTAGCAACACGAGAACAGACCTTCTCTGCAGTGGCTCCCCGTCTGTGGAATGCTGTCCCCAAGGAAGTTCACATAGTACCTTCATTATACAGTGGTGCCTCGCAAGACGAAATTAATCCGTTCCGCGAGTCTCTTCGTCTTGCGGTTTTTTCGTCTTGCGAAGCACGGCTATTAGCGGCTTAGAGGCTTAGCGGCTATTAGCGGCTTAGCGGCTTAGCGGCTATTAACGGCTTAGCGGCTTTAAGAAAAAGGAAACAAACTCGCAAGAACTCGCAAGACGTATCGTCTTGCAAAGCAAGCCCATAGGGAAATTCGTCTTGCGGAACGACTCAAAAAACGCAAAACCGTTTCGTCTAGCGAGTTTTTCGTCTTGCGAGGCATTCGTCTTGCGGGGCACCACTGTACACCTTTAGGCACCAGGCAAAACGTTCCTTTTTAATCAGGTCTTTGGTTGATTTGATTGACATCCTATGCCCTTTTAAAATGTGGGGTTTTTTGGCGGCGGCGGGAATTATTGGGTTGTTGTTTTTATTTTGATTATATCTTTCGTGGTTGTATATTTTGGTTTTGTTCTGTGAACTGCTCTGCGACCTCCAGGTATAGGACATTATATAAATTCAATAAATAATAATAATAATAAATTTGTCCTCATCACTACCCAACCCAGGGAGCAAAAGCATTAATGGGCTGAGTCACCTGCTTGTTCTAAATATATTTCCAAACATACCACTGAAGAAGACACTTTGTCAAGTGAGTCCTATCTTTCACCTTGTCGTGCTCAAGTTGGTACCAGTTTCTTTGCTGCACAAACTTGTTTCAGAACGGAAACCTACATCGTTTAGCAAGTTTATACTGGTTACACAGAAGCAGTATTTTAAAAGACTGCCCTGAAAACAAACATTTCCTTGATGACAGATAACTCTGGTGACCTTTGACTAGCTTTTGTAAAGTTAAATCTATTGCACTGGTCTTCAACTGGTAGATCAGGAACCACAAGTAGGTCCTGGCCTGATCCAAGGTGGGCCACAACAGGAGCACTACCATCATGCAAATCTATTGTAAAAGATTAAGAAATGGGTCCTCAAAAGCATGGTTGAGTTAAAAGAGGGTCCTGGGTCTGAAAAAAGGCTGAAGACACCTGATCAATTGGATCAGGTATGTGTGAAAACCCTGTGTGAGAACCCTGTTATATTAAAAAAAAAACATATTTATTATTGTACATTTTATGGAGTGATCTGTGACATGTGGCTTCTGTTGGCCAATAGTTCTGATGTGCCAGATATTATTGAGCCTAACCTTAGGAAACTGAAATAAATAAATAAATTTAAAAAAATGTCCAGTAGCACCTTAGAGACCAACTAAGTTTATTCTGGGTATAAGCTTTTGTGTGCATGCGCACTTCGAAGTATCTGAAGAAGTGTGCATGCACACGAAAGCTTATACCAAGAACAAACGTAGTTGGTCTCTAAGGTGCTACTGGACAATTTTTTAATTTGTTTATTTGTTTCGACTGCATCAAACCAACACGGCTACCTACCTGAACTTAGGAAACTGAGACCATCTTGCTTTGTGCAAATGATGTAAGTAGGCATGTCAGAGGTCAGCAACTGGGGGCGGGGCTGGTTGAAAGTTGTCTCTGTTTGAGTGTTTGCCAGCTTGCCCTCCTCAGAGATGGATTTAGGGGAACACGACCAGTTCAGTTGCACTGGGCGTGGAGCCTTGTCATCGCACCTACACACTTGCACATCCCTCTATGGATGCAGTCATGGAAAATTCAGAGCCCCACGTACAATCCTGGTTCTACAAAGAACCACTTCTAAAACCTTAGTTTGCCCTATGTGATTTATTTATTTGCCATCAGTGTGTGTGGAGCTACCCCATGAAACTTACAACTAATATTTTGACATGGGGAAAACAAGGGAGGAAAAGGGAGGTAGTATGTTGCTATTTCATGCTTTAAGCTTGGCTACACGTCAAGTTACAGTATGACATGGGTGGGGAGCCTGAGGGGGGGGCCCCCATATTATTGGGCTACAGCTCCTTTTGCCATGGACTATTGGCCATGTTGGCTGAGGCTGATGGGAACTGAAGTCCCAGCAGTATCTGAAGGACCACAAGTTCCCTGTTCCTGCAGCTGGGTATGAGATCTAAAGGGCCGTGAACCCAGACTCTTGCACATTTGCACTAAACCAAGGTTTGGCTTAGCACTGATTGCAGATTGAGTCCATGTGTGCTGGCTAGTGGATCAGCTTATCAGTATCCCTTACCTAGTCCCTTGGTGAAAAGATACAATAAGGTGCATGGGAAGTGACGCCTGAGCACCAGCAATTCCCTTTTGTTTAGCCAACAAGCTCAGGAGAGCATGGCAGTCCTATCATCCACTACTGTTTAAACTTTTGAAATCATAAATGATAGGTATGGTTCAGGTTCCCATAAAAAAATATTCTATTTAAGTGGTGTTTGTTTTCAAAATATACCTCTGGAGTGGCTGGGCAGGAGTTGCAATAAAAGGGCGAATGAAGGGGATCCAATTCTACTTGTCTTCTTGTGCTGGAATTGGGGATCAGTTCGAGAGGAGGAGGAAGCAAACACTGCAGGTTTGGAGATTGTATAGGTTTGATTACTTCATTTTCCCCACCAGGACAAGATCGCTTGTGGGTTTGAAGGCTAGAAGTGATTTGCATTTGAGAAGAAAGGCATAACCAATTACTTACCAGAGGCACTGCCTGATTTCTGGTACCTGTCCTTGGTAAAACACTGTCCTCATTTTGTCCCTATTTTTGTCTTTGGGGAAGGTGCTTTGGGTGTGTGTAGGTGTTTTACCTGCTGTTTTGAGAGAGGGGTTCTGAGCATTGCCAGCTTCTCTTCTGTGAAATGCGTCTTTTGTTGAGCCAAAGAGATTCTTACATTTCCAGATGTGTCCCCTGACTCAACAGGGTTGGGAATCTGTGAATTATACCAATAATACTTACCATGTGTATAGTACTTTCCAATCCACCCACTCTTTAAAAGTCTCTCCTCCCCCAGTATATACTGTATACACTGCCGTCCACTATAATGGTGGCTCCAAGTGAGTGGCAAAAGAGACATTTTTTTATTGCAGCAGACAGTAGAAGTTTAAACGTTTTATTTTTAGAAAGTGTGTCTTAGTAATTCTGTTTTATTAGAAAGACCTTAAGATCAGGGATGAGTAGTATTATATGTTTTGATGAAGTAAGCATCCAAAGTGATATTTCTTGAACTTTTTTTAAAAAAAAGGTTTGCAAGTTTTCTATATAGCTATGCAAGAAAAACTGTGTACAAGTGCCAACTTCTTTAACCATAAATTATGATTTTTGCATATTTATTATTTACAAGTAATCCAAGATATAACAATTACAAAAAGGTCCACTAAGACTATGAATATTTACAGAAGACAGATTATTAGTAACTATTTACTTATCATTGTTTGCAAATCTCATCATTCCAAGAGACAAAAAATAATAATAATCTGATAAAAATGGGCCAAATGGTTTTACTGAAACTTTTCAACATACAATGTAATAAAAACTAATCTAAATAAAAATAAAAATAAAAAAGAAGAAAGAAAAGAAAAGAAAAGGAGAAAAAGGGAATAAAATAAAATATAAAGCCGTCTCCCAGAGCTAGATATTAACGCTTGTCTCATGTAGAAAAGGGTGGACCCTCCCAGCTCTCACTGGGAGCTTCCACCCTGGGAGATCTTCCCTTCCCTGCCTCTCCCACAGGGTCTTTCACCTGCCAACCATCACCTTCCTGTGGGTACCTTCATTAACCCAGAATAGAGGACATCAAAAAACAAAATGTAAGCAAAAGCATAGCAAAGGAAAAAGAGAAAAGACAGGAAGAGAAAGATCATAAAAAAGAAAAAGAGAGAAGCGAGAAATAAATAAATAGGATTTCTGATTCTCTATCAACAATGTATTCAATATATTCAACAAGATTATTCAATATAATTATTCAATATAATTATTCAATATAAAGATTATTCAAAATATTCATTGTGTTCACTCCAGGATGGTATCCAGCAGTATTCCAAGGTAATATCCAGCTGTTCCTCATTCTGCTAGGCAACATTTTCCCAGTCTTCAACCCCAGACATGCCAAATTAATTCATTCCCCTTTCCACACAAAAATTCCAAAAGGGGCTTTCCAGTTGTTATTATCACTAAATGCCAAGAATAGTCTTCCTTCAGTCTGGCATGTCAGTTCACATTCCAGGTGTTTCTGACTGATAAAGCAAAAGGAGAGTTTTAGATTATTTAAAAGCCTGTTTCATATTATCCTCCAACCACTTGTGTAGCACAAGATGAGCTGGTGTCGTACATAGTCATTGTGAATATATCTGGCCAGTATTTTTGTATAATGGCGTAATGTTTGCAGTTGCAGAGGCCCTTCACTTATAATTAATGTCTCAACCAATTAATGGCTTTTATGATTGGACTACTATGCACCAAAGGTTTATCAGTGCTGGTTCCTTTTATGGTCGTGCCTGAGCTGTGATTGTAATCTTGCTCAGTATGAAACAGTGCATCATTAGCCGGATAAGAATTCATTTGCAATCATGCATGAGTGGAGTACCTTCAGTTAATAGTGCACATGCTGCCCTCTTTCAGCTGCCTTGGAGCCATGGAGAATGGCACTGCTACCCAGATGCCTAAGCAGAGCATTGATATGCCAAGCATGCCACCACCAGAGTCATCTTCTCATTATGTGCCTGTCAAGCTTGAAGAGCATGAACCTCCGGGTCTCAGTGTCAAGAAGCTCATCAAGAAAGCCAGGGAGAATTCTGGGTGCAACCGACGAAGTGTCCTTGGTGTCTTCATTAAGCTGTTTCCTGTTGTAGAGTGGCTTCCCCGCTACAGTATCAAGGAACAACTGCTTGGGGACATCATCTCCGGCCTCCTGGTTGGAATAGTTGGCATCCCTCAGTCCATCTCCTACTCCCTCCTTGCAAGTCAGGATCCCATTTACGGACTCTACACAAACTTCTTCTCTGTCATTATCTACTTTGCCATGGCTACCTCACGCCACAATTGCATTGGGACTTTCGGAGTCCTTTGCCTGATGATCGGGGAATCAGTAAACCGGCAACTGACGTTAGCAGGATACCAGTTAGAGACTGACATACCAGTGAATGCCACATTGAATGGGACAGTTGTCTGTGACAAAAGTTGCTATGCTATCACTGTGGCAACTGCTTTAACTTTTTTGGTTGGGCTTTACCAGGTAAGATAACTTCCTGATCCTTAACACAAGTGCTCTCTTAATGTTTCGGGTGCTTAAATGCTATATTCAAACCTGCCAACACAGTTATTGCTGCAGCTGCAAAAGGAGCAAGTGAAAAAAAGAAGCTGTGCTACTGTCATGGCTAATGGTGAGCCTGACCCCTGAGAAACTGTTGGAGAATTCCTTCATCTCTTGAAGAAATTTGGTGAAATGATCCTATCACTCCCCCCCTCCCTCCGATTTCTGTGGCTAAGAGAGGCCACTTGCATACAGCTCTGGTTGGAATTAGATACGAAGTTACAAAGAGAATGGCTTCCTTTATTATAGTTTCTGAGTGATCACAGATGTGGATCTAGTTTGCACATGGCAATAGCATCAGGTGATAACTTTCCTGTAAGATAGATCAAACACCACAGGCCAAGTGGGCACATCAGCTCGCATTACTCTAAGCTCAAGTGCTTTACAATGGGGTCACTTCACACATTAAGCTGGGGCAGGTGTTAAGCATGCAAGTGTTTTACATGTATATGCATGAACCAGAATACAAGAACAGGAGATTTTCTCACAACAAGCAGAGAGTAACAGAGAACAAATGCAAGTGCTGATAGTTTGCTTCTTGCACCTTCACCCAGTCAGATTAATCAATGCAACTTGCTTTCCCTTTCAGATCCTTCTAGGGGTCTTCCAACTGGGCTTCATATCCGTATATCTTTCGGAACCTCTCCTGAGTGGCTTTGTGACTGGATCCTCCCTTACCATCCTCACTTCCCAAATGAGTCTTCTGCTGGGACTGAAAATCCCTCGCCACGATGGAGTGGGCTCTCTTATCTTCACGTGGGTTGACCTATTCAGATATATTGGCAACACCAACATCTGTGACCTAGTCACCAGCCTGATTGCTCTGGTCCTCATTGTGCCAGTGAAGGAGATCAACAACTACTTTAGAGACAAAATGAAGGCTCCTTTCCCCATGGAGCTTCTGGTGGTCATTGCGGCGACCCTGCTTTCGTATTTCTTCAACTTCAACAAGAGATACAAATCTAAAATATGTGGCTCCATTCCCACTGGTTTCAAGCAACCTGCTGTACCGGATCTGAGCCTTCTTTCAAACCTGGCAGTTGATGCTCTGCCCATTGCCATCATCGGCTTTGCCATGACTATCTCGCTGGCAGAAATATTTGGCAAGAAGCATGGCTACCCAGTTCGGGCCAACCAAGAAATGATTGCCATTGGCATGGCGAACTTCGTACCATCTTTCTTCTGCTGCTTTGTCTCTAGTGCAGCCTTGACAAAGACCCTGCTGAAGGAATCCACCGGGTGCTGTACCCAGATCTCAAGCCTGGTATCTGCGTTTGTGCTGCTCCTGGTGTTGTTGTGGATTGCCCCTCTCTTCTACTCACTGCAAACCTGCATCCTGGGGGTGATCACCATCGTCAACCTCAGGGGGGCCTTGCGGAAATTTGCCGACACCCCGAAGATGTGGCGGATCAGCAAGATAGACACCGTGATCTGGTGGGTCACCATGCTGTCCTCATTACTTGTCACTACAGAGCTGGGCCTCCTCATAGGCGTCTGCTTCTCCCTCCTCTGCATCATCTTCCGCACCCAGAGGCCCCGAGCCACGCTCCTCGGCAAGGTGAACGACTCTGAAATCTACGAGGACCAGTTCACTTACAAAGAGATCAGCAGCATTGCAAATATCAAGATCTTCCGTTTTGACACCTCCCTTTACTACGCAAACAAGGACTACTTCAAAAGTTCACTTTTCCAGAAAACAGGAGTGAATCCTTCGCTGGTTGCTGCCCTGCGGCGAAAGGCTGAAGCGAAAGCAAACCTGGGCAAGAACGAAAGCTGCTTTTCTTCTAAGTTTAACTGCCTGAAGGGCACCAAGAGAGACGCTGCCAAGGTTTCGGTTTCAGATGCTCCTGGCCCAGCCATAGACATGCACACTTTAATCCTTGACTGCGGCGCCATGCAGTTTGTAGACAGCGTGGGCCTCAGTGTGCTGAAGGAGACTCGCCAGGACTACCAGAAGATTGGCATCCAGGTCCTGCTGGCCAACTGCAACCCATCCGTGCGGCATCTACTCCAGGCAGGTGGTTGGCTTACTGGGATGGAGGATACGGAGCTGCTGTCCTTCCACAGTATACATGCCGCTGTGCAGTTTGCAGAGAAACAGCACCAAACTCAACAGATGGGCAGCAAAGTGACAGGGGATGCTTTCCTTAGTCCTGAAGAAGACAATGAGACCTCAATAACACCCAGTCTGGAGGGGCAACTGTAGGCCTGGATAGAGCAGAATGTGCAAAGACTGGGAAATGGTTTCGTACTTATTTTTATTGGTGCACATGACCAATAGCTGGGAATGACCTAAAAAGGACATTGACATTCAGTTTCTTGCAGCAGGCCAAGAGGCTTTCAAGAGGACTGTTAAAACTCAGGATGGTAACAACATTATAATGCTGTAGTTTTCTCAAAGGTTTCAGTCCCTCTTTATTTACTATTACTCATTTCAGCAATTTATATACGGCTTAACTCCGCATGGCCATGGCATAAGGGTTTCCACTAGCATAATCAGGGACAGCAATCATATTTTACTCCCTTTGGATACTATGTGGATCTAAAGAGTGAAAGAAGAAAACATGTTTGAAATGATTTTCTGTTTCAGATGTAGAGTTTTGTTTTAGGTTATTTCCCTTTTCATCCCTCCCATTTTTGTCAGGTCTCAATGTCTGGGCTTGTCTCACACAGGAGTTCCTCAGAGTTTGGCTTTGCAAATTAACAGAGTTCAAGATGGAAGGTCTACTACCCGACAGTGGATGCATTGCAGGAAGCAGGGTCACTTTATATGCCTTTCTTTAGTGGGATTGGCTACCCTACAGATTCTCAAGTCTGCCATGCAGATCATGCAGGCTATCCTGGGAACTGGTAGCAGTTGTGCATGGATGCCCAGTGGCTTGTTGCCTAACAAAAGCATCAGTGTAGGAAAAGAGCATCAGAGCTTGGTCAGGGGTAGATACTAAAAGAAAAAGGAGCAAGGTATGACATGCTAGAGAGCACTAATGGAGTGGCATTGGTGTGTGTGGGAGGGCAAAGGGTGATGATTTTCCAGGGAGAGTGATCAGTCTTAAATTAAGAGTACATGGTGAATCTTGGCATTACAAAGCCACACCAGAAGGCTTTAGCAATCTGATGTGTCTATCTGAATACTGGAGGAATTCCTTTACTTTCTAAAAAAGACATTCCAATTTATCTTTTGACATCTATTTCCCTGGCAGTACTTCATTTCCTTTTCTCATGCACTAATGAAATCAATCAAAAACAAGACCAAAAAACCCCTTGTCTGTATATTTCATGTTTTTATATATTTCACTGTATTTATTGCATTTATATGTTACCCTTCTGTTCAAAGAATTGCATTGGCCACCAATTACCTACTAGGCTAAGTTCAAGGTGCAGGTTTTCATGTGTAAAACCCTCTACAGTTTGGGATCAGCATAACAGAAAGATCGCCACAGGCTTCATATAGCTAGTTGATCACTGTGCTCTGCATGTGAGGGCCTCCTACAGATACCATGTTATCAGGAGATCCATTCCACACAATATAGAAACCGGGTGTTTAGTGTTGTGGCACCTACACATCGGAATTCCCTCCCCTTAAATATTGGGCAGGTGCCATCTCCGTTGTCTTTTTGGTGCCTACAGAATACTCTCCTCTTCCAACAGGCCTTTGAAGCTGAGATCTTTCCCAGTCTGCACCTCTATTGAAATTGTTTTAAAGATCTTTTAAACACCTTTTAAAAATTGTTATATCACTTGTTCTTTACACCCCTGGGCTCCCTTTGGAAGGAATGGTGGGATGGAAATTTAACAAATAATAGGAATTAATAATAATATATATGCCACCTTTCCTCCAAGTAGTGCAGGCACTTCCCCATTTTATTCTTTCAACAACCTTGTGTGGTAGGTTGGCTAAGAGTGACTGGCTGTTACCCAGAGAGCTTCTTTGCTGAGGGAGGATTTGATTTTCTGGTGGATGTGAGGGGGAGAAGAGATATATGCCACCCAAATACCCTGGAGGACGGGCAGAATATGGATATTATCAAAGTAATACATAACTATCTGATGCATCAATAATATTACCTTACACTGACCACCAGAGGGCAAGAGTATGTCACAAAAACGCAATCTATAGCACTAACAGAGCGACTGTTGAAGGAAGTGATCTTTTTTGGGATAAAATCTAGAGCAAGTGACAGTGAGGACTTTGTTCCAAGCAGCAATCTTAGGGCATATTAAACTTCATAAAAACAGTTATTGTTTAGCTTTCATTGAGATTTATTTCTTTGCAAACACACAGAGATAGGACCATTGCTGTATATTTCTGCCACAATCTGAACATGATTTATTTCCCAAGGGAGAATAGCACAAGTGATAAAGTACGTTCACCTCTAGGTGCTAATTTCCATCAGTTAAAAAGGGAATTATACTGAGACTGAATATATGAATATTAATATAGATGACAACACCTTAGCATTGTCACAGAAGAACATGATTGCAAGCTGTTCACTATTTTTGATTCACTGAGATTATGCCTGCTCAGGTGACATCTTCACAGTGACACTTGTGTCACACAAGGAATGTAAAACATGACATTTTCCCACCCCCTAATAGACCCCCATTTTGTTGTTCCCAAGATGTGTAGGTTTGCACTAAAGCCAAACTAACGGTGGCAATTGTATGTTACCAAAAACTGCTGGACTGGTGGGATGAGAAGGGGGTATTTTACCTTTTTTCTCTTTCCCTGCCATTGACCCCCCCAAAACAAAAATATATCTACTAAGCAGTCAGCATTTGTGGGGATGCTCCAGCCCACAGGCCAATTTCAGCCCACCAAGGGGTCCAGTTTTGCCTGTGAGGCCATTTCCCCCAAACCACACCTGCCTATCCATTAACTGACTCACAGGAATAGAGGCTTCCTTTGAAATGCATATAGCAGCTTCAGAGAGGTGGCCTTTTGTACCTATGATACTGAGAGGAAGAGTTCAATGAACTCATCCCTCTCTAGAGTCCTGAAGCTGCTCAGCCAACTTCCCAGTGGCTGCTCGCTCTCTCTCACACACACTCATTCACATATATATATATATATATATATATATATATATATATGAGAATTAATTGAACCCACACAAATGTCATGTCCAGTTGGGCCTAGGTTCTGCTTCCATTGTTACTTTCACAATGCACGCCTATGCTGTTACACAGATCAATGCACAAAACAGTTTACCAGTTAAATCTAATTTTGGCCTTAAGATCAGCAGAGTACTGTATCTTATCCTTCCATGCTTCCACACCAGAAAATAGTCACCCTCCTGATGTAGTTAGAAGCATACAACGTAGGCTGCATATTCGCCATTTGTTTAAAGTACCATCGCCAACAAATCCTAGGAACTGTTGTTTATCCCACACAGAGCTGCAATTCCTACTACAGTTCACAGTATTCTTCAGCTTGAGGGATGTGCTATAGGCCTATTCCTTTGCAGGCTATCAACCACTATCAATGACTAATCCACTCCACTTCCCAGTGGGGAGGAGTTGTGGTGGACGGCGTGGCCACCCACTCCCCACCGGGGGAGGGGGGACTTTCTCCCCCATTGCCTGGGGGATCCCGGCCACATCAGAGCCTGGCCAGCCAATCCACTGGCTGGGGGCGTGGCGTGGCTGGGTCCGTTTAAATCAGAGGAGTGAGCCAGAGGGCTTCCTCTTTGGCTCGCTTCCTCAATCACCCGCCCTCCCTCCCTATTTTGCAGATTTTAGGCACTGGCCTTGCTATGGACCGCAGTTGATCGCTGTTGAGGGGCCTGGTAGGAATTTTTCCACTTGGCAAATTGCCACTGGCCATTTGGTTTTTGCCTACCTAGTAGCAATCGTCACAACTTTGTTAGGGTTGCGGTTAGGCATTGTGTGACCTTGTGTGGGGAAGGGGAGGTGTGGCCATCACCTGCCCCTCCAAGCTTAAGGGTATTCTGTTAAAGGAATCCGGGGGTGTTGATCTTGTCTGAAGCCCGGGTCAGGGGCTAGGGCCATGACACGACCCCGACGGGAACACCAGGGGGAGCTCGAGTTGGTCTGCATCTACAGGGCTCCCCGTTCCAGTGGTTTACCCTTACCGGACTTCCTGCGCAGCGGGCAGGAGTCAGATATAGTCAGGTCCAATCAATGCCTAAGCCAATACCGCTCACATTCTGTAATTCAATAAAGTTGTGGCCAAATTTGCCCAATAACATAAACCTAATATCCATGTCCTTGTGTGTGTTATTTCCCAACGAAGGGGTGGCTGCGGGGTCTTGACACGCAAGTAGCTCTACCTCCACAGAGGCATGAATGCTTCTGAATACCGGTTGCTGGACGTCACAGAAGGGGAGAGGGCTCTTTCCATGGGTCCTGCTTGCAGGTTTCCTGCAGGCATCTGGCTGACCACTGTGAGAACAGGATGAGGGGCAGATGGGGCTTTCTCATGTTCTTATTAAAGGCACAAATTGCCTGCCTGGAGGGAAGGAGCTGAAGAATTGTCATTCTTAGGAAACTGGAGTTGGTAATAGCTCTGCAACAGAAATTGGATCAGCAGCATTTGTTGCCTCGTCTACATTGAGTTTTCGCAAGCCCCATGCTCTACTGCTGCTCAGTTTCCCCCTATTCTTCCCCCTCCCTTGGCTGCTGTAGAAGCTTCCTTCTCTCCTTACTGTAAAACCCTAAATCCTCCATCATTCACTGAGATTTATAGGCTGGCTTATTGCAAGAGTGCAGTACCTTAGACAAGATCATGAGCTCTACAAGTGGCAGCAGATTTTACAGCAGCTGTTACTTGTGTTTAGGAAGCAGCTGGGTAGATTTAAATCCTTGGAAACTTTAAAAAGTTTTGTCTCTTTTCCCCCCACCCCCCACTTTCCCAGCTGTCAGATAGAGGGTTTAAGGGGCAATATTGAGTGTGAATGTTTTAAACAACTTTAAAAATGGGATTCTTTTTTAAAAAAAACTTGATAAAATATTACTAAAAACATGCTGAGTGTTTGCTGCATGAATTGTGTAAGTAAGTGGAGAAAATGAAATTTCATTCTTTGCTGGGATTGTGATGCACACAGCCCTAGAGAGCTAGTGGCACGGGTACAACATTATCCTTTCCAGTGTACCTTGTACCACACAATTGTCTTTGGTCTTTATATTCCTTGGTGAATGGAAACCAGTAAATAGGTCTGCCCCAAAACATTTGAAGGCGCAAACAGC